CTTTGATACAGTATCCCACACGTGATTGGGTCAAATACTTGAAGTGCAGACAGGAATAACAAGAAACGTACTCCGGGGGGATCAAGGAGTACCTCAGAGGAAGGAGCCAGAGAATGGTTGTCTGGGAAGCGTCAGAATGGGGAGGTGGAGTCCATGTGGCTAAGAGGGAGTGGGTCTAGCAAGCGGCAGGTTGAGGGGCCGGGCCAGGAACCGAGACTCGACCCCTGCAACCATATATAGGTAAGTACACACACACACACATACACACACACACACACACACACACACACACACACACACACACACACACACACACACACACACACACACACACACACACACCACACACATACACACTACCCGAGATAACAATGGAGGTTTAACAATGCATTTCATCAATAAACGTCGCCAGTCCGATATCTGAAGAATGAACAGTCAGACACACACACACACACACACACACACACACACACACACACACACACACACACAACACACACACACACACACACACACACACACACACACACACACACACACACATGCGCGCGCGAGCATTCACGCTACAAGAGAACTTGGATAAGTTGCAAAAATGGTCAAAGAAATGGCTGCTGGAGTTCAACCAAAATAAGTGCAACATCACACAGATTGGGAAGGGGAAGAGAAAAAACCGAAAAAGAATACAACTTGAGAGGCGAGAAACTACAAATATCGCTTAGTGAGAAAGATCTTGGAGAGAACACAACACCCAATATATCGCTCGATGCACACATAAATCGTCTAGCATGTTCAGAAAGTGAGGTTAGCAATAGCAGTCCCACAATTGCCTCCAGAAACCTTTTCTCTTTGGACTTTGTGCATAACATGTGTTAGGTCTGTCAGGGAGCACGCAGCACCAACATGGAGCCCTCACCTCTCCATTTATGTAAAGAAACTTGAGAATGTTCAGAGGTGTGGAACACGATTAATTCCAGAGCTGAGGCATTGAACTATAAGGATAGACTGTATTAACTAAATATGATTCTAGGAGAGAGAAGAACCAAGGAAGATATGATTACGACATCAAAGCTATTCAGAGGCTTTGACAAGGGATTTACAAGCAGACTATCTGAAATGATACAGTATGTACAGCTACGAGGGCACAGAGAGGCTGTCAGCTCAGTACACGGGAGAGCTACACGGATTCTGGGAAATACTTTTTTTTTAATTTGAGGGAGGTAAGTAAGTGGAATGAGACAGATGATGCGGTAAAGGCAATCTGTATACACGGTGTCAAACGAAGGAATGACAGGGCCCAGGAGGAACTAATAAGACCGATGATTGTATAAGATGGCTGGAGGTGTTGTGACACTGACTGCTAAGACAGTTGTGGGCGAGTGCTGGGGGAAGTGGGAGGAGACGTATGCAGTTAAGTGTCCAGTGATATGATGAGGTAACTAACTGGAGAAGAGAGAACTGCTGTTGGAAGTGATAATAAGCAAGGTTAGCGAAGCTGTGAGGCACATGATGGAGTCTGTAGCGGAGATGTGAGGCACATGATGGAGTCTGTAGCGGAGATGTGAGGCACATGATGGAGTCTGTAGCGGAGATGTGAGGCACATGATGGAGTCTGTAGCGGAGATGTGAGGCACATGATGGAGTCTGTAGCGGAGATGTGAGGCACATGATGGAGTCTGTAGCGGAGATGTGAGGCACATGATGGAGTCTGTAGCGGAGATGTGAGGCACATGATGGAGTCTGTAGCGGAGATGTGAGGCACATGATGGAGTCTGTAGCGGAGATGAGGCACATGATGGAGTCTGTAGCGGAGATGTGAGGCACATGATGGAGTCTGTAGCGGAGATGTGAGGCACATGATGGAGTCTGTAGTGATGTGAGGCACATGATGGAGTCTGTAGCGGAGATGTGAGGCACATGATGGAGTCTGTAGCGGAGATGTGAGGCACATGATGGAGTCTGTAGCGGAGATGTGAGGCACATGATGGAGTCTGTAGCGGAGATGTGAGGCCCATGATGGAGTCTGTAGCGGAGATGAGGCACATGATGGAGTCTGTAGCGGAGATGTGAGGCACATGATGGAATCTGTAGCGGAGATGTGAGGCACATGATGGAGTCTGTAGCGGAGATGTGAGGCACATGATGGAGTCTGTACTGGAGATGTGAGGCACATGGTGGAGTCTGTAGCGGAGATGTGAGGCACATGATGGAGTCTGTAGCGGAGATGTGAGGCACATGATGGAGTCTGAAGCGGAGATGTGAGGCACATGATGGAGTCTGTAGCGGAGATGTGAGGCACATGATGGAGTCTGTAGCGGAGATGTGAGGCACATGATGGAGTCTGTAGCGGAGATGTGAGGCACATGATGGAGTCTGTAGCGGAGATGTGAGGCACATGATGGAGTCTGTAGCGGAGATGTGAGGCACATGATGGAGTCTGTAGCGGAGATGTGAGGCACATGATGGAGTCTGTAGCGGAGATGTGAGGCACATGATGGAGTCTGTAGCGGAGATGTGAGGCACATGATGGAGTCTGTAGCGGGATGTGAGGCACATGATGGAGTCTGTAGCGGAGATGTGAGGCACATGATGGAGTCTGTAGCGGAGATGTGAGGCACATGATGGAGTCTGTAGCGGAGATGTGAGGCACATGATGGAGTCTGTAGCGGAGATGTGAGGCACATGATGGAGTCTGTAGCGGAGATGTGAGGCACATGATGGAGTCTGTAGCGGAGATGTGAGGCACATGATGGAGTCTGTAGCGGAGATGTGAGGCACATGATGGAGTCTGTAGCGGAGATGAGGCACATGATGGAGTCTGTAGCGGAGATGTGAGGCACATGATGGAATCTGTAGCGGAGATTTGAGGCACATGATGGAGTCTGTAGCGGAGATGTGAGGCACATGATGGAGTCTGTAGCGGAGATGAGGCACATGATGGAGTCTGTAGCGGAGATGTGAGGCACATGATGGAGTCTGTAGCGGAGATGTGAGGCACATGATGGAGTCTGTAGCGGAGATGAGGCACATGATGGAGTCTGTAGCGGAGATGTGAGGCACATGATGGAATCTGTAGCGGAGATGTGAGGCACATGATGGAGTCTGTAGCGGAGATGTGAGGCACATGATGGAGTCTGTAGCGGAGATGTGAGGCACATGATGGAGTCTGAAGCGGAGATGTGAGGCACATGATGGAGTCTGTAGCGGAGATGTGAGGCACATGATGGAGTCTGTAGCGGAGATGTGAGGCACATGATGGAGTCTGTAGCGGAGATGTGAGGCACATGATGGAGTCTGTAGCGGAGATGTGAGGCACATGATGGAGTCTGTAGCGGAGATGTGAGGCACATGATGGAGTCTGTAGCGGAGATGTGAGGCACATGATGGAGTCTGTAGCGGAGACGTGAGGCACATGATGGAGTCTGTAGCGGAGATGTGAGGCACATGATGGAATCTGTAGCGGAGATGTGAGGCACATGATGGAGTCTGTAGCGGAGATGTGAGGCACATGATGGAGTCTGTAGCGGAGATGTGAGGCACATGATGGAGTCTGAAGCGGAGATGTGAGGCACATGATGGAGTCTGTAGCGGAGATGTGAGGCACATGATGGAGTCTGTAGCGGAGATGTGAGGCACATGATGGAGTCTGTAGCGGAGATGTGAGGCACATGATGGAGTCTGTAGCGGAGAGTGAGGCACATGATGGAGTCTGTAGCGGAGATGTGAGGCACATGATGGAGTCTGTAGCGGAGATGTGAGGCACATGATGGAGTCTGTAGCGGAGATGTGAGGCACATGATGGAGTCTGTAGCGGAGATGTGAGGCACATGATGGAGTCTGTAGCGGAGATGTGAGGCACATGATGGAGTCTGTAGCGGAGACGTGAGGCACATGATGGAGTCTGTAGCGGAGATGTGAGGCACATGATGGAGTCTGTAGCGGAGATGTGAGGCACATGATGGAGTCTGTAGCGGAGATGTGAGGCACATGATGGAGTCTGTAGCGGAGATGTGAGGCACATGATGGAGTCTGTAGCGGAGATGTGAGGCACATGATGGAGTCTGTAGCGGAGACGTGAGGCACATGATGGAGTCTGTAGCGGAGATGTGAGGCACATGATGGAGTCTGTAGCGGAGATGTCGCTCACCACACTGGCTCCACACATTTTCAAAAGGCTTAAGGAGAACAAATGTCTAAATTTTCTCCACGTTTTGTATTCACTCTCTGTGGAAACTAAAAGTGACTTAAATAACGGCAATTGCCAATATTTAGCAGGAAGTCTGTGAGACTAGCGACATCTGGTTACAGCCCTACTAGCAGTTTAGCATATACGATTATTGATGAATACAGTGATAGCATAATAAGCTATGTGATATGCCAGGGTATCTCACTAAGATACCCTGGAAAAAGTGTTGATAACATACCTGATAATAACGAACACTGGTGGTGAAGAAAGGTTTCAGGACACACGGGGAGGTTAAGACTTGACACGTCAGAGGTTCGAAACTCCATGCCAGAGACAGAGATCAAGGTATCAATACAATAAATGAAGGTGAGGTGAGGGGGAAGGTATGAGTACTCTCGCGTAAGATCACTGAGGATGGTAAGGCTATCAGACATGTGGTAATTAAGAGAAATAGTGATGTAAGAAATGCCAGTGGTGTGGGAAAATGCAATTTAACCTATGGTGGGTTTCATGAGGGGTCCCAGGGTCTTTGTGAGGAGTCTCAGGGTCTTTATGAGGAGTCCTAGGGTCTTTATGAGGGATCCCAGGGTCTTTATGACGGATCCCAGGGTCTTTATGAGGGATCTCAGGGTCTTTATGACGGGTCTCAGGGTCTTTATGACGGATCCCAGGGTCTTTATGACGGGTCTCAGGGTCTTTATGACGGGTCTCAGTGTCTTTATGACGGGTTCCAGGGTCTTTATGACGGGTCCCAGGGTCTTTATGACGGGTCCCAGGGTCTTTATGAGGGATCCCAGGGTCTTTGTGAGGGGGCTCCATGGTCTTTATGAAAGGCCCCCAGGGCCTTTACAACTGCTATCCACAACCTATCACCAAAAGAAGGGACGAGAGTAAGGAATGACAAACCTGCGAGGCTGGACTTAGTTTTTACATTCAAGGAGACTGGCCAAAAAAAAAAAAAAGGAAATTAAAGAAGAAAAGGCACAATACCGTGACTGGAACAATACACAGATAACCTGCACATAGGAGAGAGAAGCTTACGACGACGTTTCGGTCCGACTTGGACCATTTACAGTCACACTAACACATAAGAGTGAGAGAGCCAGTATATATAGGCGAGGGGGGACAATGACGGTACCAAGAAAGAAAAGGTAGTGGTAGTGGAAAGTAGTAGTAGAAGCAATAGTGGTAGTAGAAAGTAGGGAGAGTAGTTTAGTGGAGCATGAGAGAAAGGGGAGAGAAGGGTAAAGGGAGGCAATAGTAAAAATGGTAGAAATGGAGTGGAAATTGTAGGAGTAGTAGTAAAAGTGGGACCAGTCGAAGTACAAGGAAAGGAGCACCGCACACTGTTAAGGGCCCACAAGGGGTAAGACCAAAAACACACGGGGGGGGGGGGCTGAAGGACAGAACACACTTAGGCAGGAGAAAGGCAAAGACAGAAAGAAAAAAAGATGGGAAAGGAGAAGAGATAGAAAAAGGAGAAGAAAGGATCAGGTCAAGTCACAAGTGTGCTGAAGTTTGGAGCATTTGACAATGTAATTTGAAAGGAAGGCATCTACAGAAACAAAGCCAAGACTAAGATTCATACAAGTAAAGTTGTGTATAAGGGATGCCTCAACAAGACGGGGAGTGTGAGGGCTACAAATAGTGTAGACAGTAAATTGATTGGGGAATGCTCTTAGCGACAAGCGATTACTGCTTGTTAAAGTTCTGCTGCCCAGTGGAATTGAAAGTGGAGAGGAGAAATTAGAGAATCGAAGAGACTGATGAACAGGAAAAGCGACTCGAGTAACGAGGCCTTTTCCGACTCAAACACAACGAGGTGACGAGCTCTGGGGAAGACCCACCAATGAAACCAAGTTTTTTTTTCAACCCCGAAATACAAATAAGCGAGAGACAAATACGTCTCGCCACGCATAGAAATAGAAACAGATGAGAGACGCCTGGAGAAGCCGCTATTCAGTTGATGTAAGGAGGGTAAACACGCACTCTGGCGCTGCGGTCTGTAATCCACAATTCTGCTCGACATTTCCATCACTTCTTGTACCTCACGACAACACCTTTCTCAGTGTAATCCACCCCCGTGTTCTTATTGAAGCTGACGCTTGGTAATGCTTCAACATATATCACTTGCTGCAATATGCAAAATAACCACAGTGGAAAAAAAGTGAAATTCCAAGAGCTTTCGTGATTTCTCACATTACTTCACATTATTCCCTGATAATGTGAGAAATCGCGAAAGCGATTGGAATTTCACTATTTTTTTCACTGTGGTTATTTTGCATATTGTGATATCACCTGTTTACTGTGATCTTATTACATATATCACTTGTTATTTTAAGAGTTACGTGACCAGAGTCTATAATCTACAATGTAACATTGTACAACAGTGTTTTATTATTCGCTTCATCATACCTCGACTGTCATCATGCACTTCACCATACCTCGACTGTCATCATGCACTTACCATACCTCGACTGTCATCATGCACTTCACCATACCTCGACTGTCATCATGCACTTCACCATACCTCGACTGTCATCATGCACTTCACCATACCTCGACTGTCATCATGCACTCACCATACCTCGACTGTCATCATGCACTTCACCATACCTCGACTGTCATCATGCACTCACCATACCTCGACTGTCATCATGCACTTCATCATACCTTTTATACTTATGTACATTTTCTTCTTGAAACACTGACGACCTATTTCCAGACCTCATTCTACGTGTAATTCGGTCAATAATTCATGAGTGTGAAAGGTTGGACGTGAGTGGGACGTGTACACCATGTTTTAATAAGATCACTGAAACTATACATTGGTTAGCTTTACGAACTGGTTGGATATAATAATAATAATAATGTATAACATCTGGGTATAGGATTGGCCAAACTGGAGAACGCAGCGCCGGTAGAGGTGAAGGAGTCACCGCGCAGGTCACGAGGGGTCATCCCTCACCTGGGTCACCTACCTGACCTCAACAAACTCTCTGAGGTGGTCCGTCACTTGGTCATGGGCAGTGTGGGTCTCGTTAAGCCCATACTGAAGCCCAGGAAGATCTGCATCTACACCTGCGCTAATCTGAAAGGTATCTCTCTTTATTTTCTTTACTTTATAGAAAAAAGTAATTCACAATCTCTACAGACTGAACGAACGGCTGACAAGGCTTAAATCTGGCCACGGCAGATCGACTTGTGATTTCCCAGTCGAGCACTCCTGGTCTGAGTGTCGTTCCCGTTGTTCCACAGACACTATGATGGAACGGTCGGCGCTGATGGAGCACGTGTATCCCAAGCTGCGCCTTTAC